CCTTCGCCGCGCTTCTGGAGGACGGCGGCGTGGTGACCTGGGGCTTCCGCGGCGAAGGCGGTGACAGCTCTGCAGTGCAGAATCGGCTGCGCGGGGTCGCGGCACTGAGTGCCACGAGGTGTGGCTTCATCGCCATCCGCAATGACGGTGCAGTCGTTGCCTGGGGGGCCTAAAAGAACTGCGCGGCTGGGTTTTTCCCGCCCACCCTAAGCTTTCAGGGCACCCTATCCCCCTTTCGGCCCAACGGTAGGCTGTGCCCCTCATCTGCCCTGCGAGTGCACTGGACTTTTTGCTTTCCGCGCTCGCAGGTTCAAGCTTGTAGGTCGGGCGGGGGGGTAGCCGGGCGGTCGGAGAGCTTGTTGTCGCCAGGCCCTCAGGTCGTTTGCACTTCAGGAGTCTTTGCGGATGCCGAAGGTTTTGAGCTGCATTTTCTGCCAGTGTTTGGGGTTGTGCTGTGCCCTGCTTTCCCGAGTCCACCCGCCGCCGCGCTCAGGTCTCGTCAATCCTCGACTTCGGACGGCCTGGGGCTTGGGTCTGTTGTTGAAGCTGCAGCTGTCGCGAGAGGCCTCCGTTGCAGTCTGCAGTTTTTGCATCAAGCCCCGGAGCGCAAGCATGTCCTCGGCCGCGCGGGCTGCCGCTATCGAGCTGCTGCTGGTTGAAGGCAACGACCACAATCTCGCGCTCGCCAAACTGGGCTTGCGGGTTTTCCCAACGGCATCGCCGGGTCAGAGCTATCGCAAGATGCACGCCTTAGTGCATCCAGACAAAAACCAGAACAGCCCGCGTGCCACACAAGCCGCGCAGGTTCTCGGCAAGTTGTGGGGCGAGTTGAACGGTGGAAGCCAGTCCCCGGACTTTTGGGCCGGCGTGGTGCGGCGGCAAGCTATGTCTAGCCTGGAGATGAAGCTCAAAGTTATTCTGGAGAACGAAGAACAGGCGGCTCCGAAGGCGCCGCCGCGACCCAAGGCACCGCCGCCGACGACTGCGGGCTTGGATCAGTTCATGAGGGCGAGGAAGCAAGCTCCTCCGGCAGCCACCCCGACTGAGGCCTGCTGTCACAGCACTTTTGGAATGTACTTCAGCGCTTTGTGATGCCAGGCTCCCGTGCCTACAGCCTCCGATCAGCAGGCCTGGGGGGTCGAAGGCATGAAAAACATCAAATGGGTCTAAATGCTGTCAGGAGCCCGCTTCATCTGCCGGTGCAGCCGCTGCACCGACTCAGGCCGTGCCCTCGGGATCTTCTTTGGCGTGTTTGTTTGATGCTCCGTGAGGCCCCCGGCTCATCGTCATCGCGGACCCCGCCGACGGCACAGCAGGAGCAGGACGATGGCTTCGTGGACCGTGAGGCCCGTTCCTTAAAGCCTGCCGCCGAAGGTCAGCTTCCCTTTGTGTCGGCAGGACCCCGACATGCACGACGAGCACCCGTTCAAATCCGGGCCCGCAGACCTGGACTTCGGAGGCAGCCGCCTCCACTGGGAGGCCGTGTCGGTTGCAGGCCTCGATCGTGCCCTGGCTTTGGACGCCGTGCGCCGAGCAGACGCCCTGGACCTCTTCGAGGAGCTCTACTGGCTTCGGCAGCGAGCCGTCAGGATCACCGGCAAGGTGGGCTACGTGCCGGTTCTGCACCGGCAGGGCAGAGGGCCGCCGGGGATCCGACCACGGCTCTACTCCGGCATCGGGAAGCTCCCTCAGCTGCCGGACTCCAACGGGAAGCGCAAGAAGAGCGAGGAGGAGATGAAGGAGGCGGTTGCGAAGAGGGACGAGGCCATCGACAAGCTCCCGGTCGAGTTGCAGCGCGAGCTCGGGGCCAAGGTGCCGGAACGCTTCGTGGGACGGAGCGCCTTCAGTTTCAGCAGGCTCACCCGCTGCATGGCCCGACAGGGACTCGGAGCTTTGGAGGTCGACGTGGCCAACAGCTACTTCCAGTTCCTCGTCAAGGACGTCCTGGCGACCGAGGAGGCCCCGTTGATCCGGGACTACGTGTGCAACCGCGAGGCCTGGCTGGAGCGCCTCACGGCGGCGTTCCAAAGGTGGCAGGAGACCCAGGGCGCCCAGGTGACCATCGACCGCAGCCACACCAAGCGCCTCCTCATCGGCATCGGCTTCGGTGGCTACTTCGCCAACTGGTGCTCCCGAGAGCTTGGCGTCGTGCTGGACGAGACGGACCTTGCGGAGGCCAAGGGCATCCAGGGCCTGGAGAACGAAGTCCGCAGAGCGCACGGGCTTATTCGGCGGCGACTTCCGGAGGCCACCCGCGCCTCGCTCAAAGGGAGCAGCGGCGGCGCTGTCGCCTTCTTCGCCTACGCGGACTGGGAGCGGAAGGTCCTGGATGCCATGGTGACCGCCGCAGGCACATCCTTGCTGGCCCCGGAGCACGACGGCGTCAGCGTCTTTCCTGAAGCCCGAGACCGCGTCCTGAAGGCTGCGGCCGACCTTGGGGTCCAGGTCACCGCGAAGTCGGTTCCCGACGCTGTGGAGACGGCCACTGCTTTGCACCCGGAGTTTGACTGGTGCCTGGAGGCCCGACTGCCCTACGGCGACTACCAGAAGCTGCGGCAGCGCTGCAAGGAGAACGTCGCCCGCTGCCGGGCGCGTGCCAACAACGGGGACTTCGCCGACTTGCTCGTGGCCATGCTGGAGCCGATCATCTACGTGCCGAACCAGCTGCACGAGAGGGCGGACACCTACGAGTACTTCGGCCCGGACGGTGCGTGGGTGGAGGCCAAGAAGGATCACTTGGGCCACTTGATCCGGAGCTGCCTGAAGCGGCTTTACGGCAGCATGGAGACTCCGCCCGAGCCCCTGAACGACATCGGCTTCGCGACCTCCTTGACGCAGGCGGTGCTGGGCGGGCTGAGTGGCCGCACCTTCAAGCCGCTGAACGGGGACCACAGCCGCGGCAAGATGCTCCTGGCCGACGGCATCATCGCCGACTTTGAGACGGGCGAGATCCGACGGGCCCTCCCCCGGGACAGGATGAGCCTGCGAGCGGCAGCCGGGTCGAAGAAGTGGCGGCCCCCGATCGACACCGCCGTCTTCCAGCATATCGAGGCCTTCCTGGAGACGGGCGCCAACGAGCTGGAGGAGAACGAGGAGGGCTGCCGGGTCGTCGCGGAACTGGAGTCTCTCCTTCAGCACAGCGGGTGGCTCCGAATGCTGAAGAACTACGGCAGCTGGGACCAGGTCCTCTACTTGCTGCGCCTGCACTCCCGAGCCCTCAGTGGCTACGCCCGCATCTGTGAGCTGCTCTACATGTACGGCTGTGGCAGCAGTGGCAAGGACGTGATCTTCCTCCCCCTGCTGACCTTCCTGGGGCACGAGGCCTTCAACTACGGTGCGATCCTGCCCGGCCGCTTCGTCACGGCTTGCCGCTCTGCCGAGGCCAATGCGGCGACTCCCTTCCAGGACCAGCTCGCAGGGAAGAGGGGGGTGTGGGCATCGGAGATTCCCTCCCACGATAACCTTAACGAAGAGTTCATGAAAGCTTTCTGCGAGCAGCAAGGCGCTCCGATAGCAGGCCGAGCTCTCAACAGAGGCCCCCGCAGCTGGCGCCCGCAGGGCCTCCTCTTCTGCACATCCAACCACGCGCCCCGCGTGCAGAACTCCGAGGACGATGGATGGACCAGGAGGGCGAGAGTGTGGGAGACCCAGCACCGGTTCGTTGCGAACCCTACGGGTCCTGCCGAGAGGAAGGGCGACGATGGCCTTAAGGCTCGGATCCAAAGCGGAGCCTTCAATGCCGAGCTCCTGTACTTTGCCATGGGGCTCTATGCATCCCTCAAGGAACGACTCAACCCCGGCACGATGTTGATCCCCATGCCGGCGGAGATGCGGGACGTGCAGGCTGAGCTGGCCAAGGGCGGCGCCCAGCGCTGCGCCACGGACTTCATCGAGAGCTGCTGCGACGTCGTGGAGGTGTACCAGGAAGGCACTCCGTGGGGCGCCATCAAGGACATGTGCCGGGAGTTCTTGGGCTTCGGACAGAGCGAGATGTCCAAGGTCAACATGGCGCTGACTCGGGCCAACGTCAGGCGGCACGCCGCCTGCAGCAAGAACATCGCTCTCGGACCCAAGGGTGCCCTCCGCCTGAAGCCGCAGTTCGCAAACAGGGATCCGTTCGCTCCCGCG